AAAAAAAAAAACTTTATAATTTGTTTGTGTAGAATAATTTAATTTTAAATATGTGCAGGCGAAGCAGCAGCAAAAACGTGCGAGTACTCATATATAGCTCGATGCGACCTACACGGGATTAAAGTGTGCACGCGCTGCTTACAATTCAAGAAACTGATAAGGGCTGTCTTATGCAACACAACTTTACCCTTTCCTACCTGCGAATGTGTCTTTCAATGTGGCGGCACTACTTAATCCTTTATGTTTTTTCTTGTTAATTTTTCCAATAATCCATTATATTAAAAAGAATTATACTGGAATAAATAAATATATCACCTTTTTCGGTGTTTTTTTTTTTTTTTTCTTTGGTTGCTTATTCTAGATTGTGTAATTGTTGCAGTTTTATTATAATTCATAACTTCTGGAAAATCATTTAAAAAAAAAAAAAGCACAAGTATATATACATACCAATGAATCTAGAACCAACCTATAACAAATTAACTAACAGCAGTTTTGAGTAAATATGTGTTGCTAAAGAAAATAGTAACCTTTGTACCGAAAAAAAAAAAGAAAAAGAAAATAGTAACCTAACAAGAAAATTACTGAAATTGTAGCCCAAAATCCATGCGTTCAATAAATCAGAATAATTTATCATATGATGAAGATCAGTAGAGGATTATAGATAACAATTTTCAATGAGTATAAACTTCCATGATTCTTGGAGGCTACGCTCACTTATAACTTTAAAAAAAAAAACATCAATCTTATATTTTCTCCATTCATGAAAAATGGAAAAAAAAGATAACACAACTTCTGCTAGCCCTAGGCAATCATCTTACATGGGACTGTTCTTGCCTCTAACCAAGATGATGTGAGACAATTCAATTATAAGGTCTATAACTACAAAAATAATATTTAAGAAAATAAAACTTAATAGAAATATATATTTTAAATTATTAAATACTTCCAATAAATCGACACAATTTTTTTTTTTTTTATACATCTAATATTGAATGTCAAATTGAACACTAAAACCAACTGAGTTTAGAAGTGCTGGTGATCAAACTGTAGTTTGTACTGCGTAAATGCATAGCGATGAAAATTATTTCTCAATATATACCAAGTCAAAATTTTAATATAGCACAGTAAACCTTTGCTTGAACTTGTGGTGGTTTACGTACGTGCCAAATGAGTGCTTACTGCTCAACGATCATTCGTGAAAATCCGACAAAAGTAATTAAAGGCATAAGACTGGAACAAGCAACAGGGGACATATCGCGAGATTTCTCTTTAGTTTCTCAGAATCAAGGAACCTAGAGCAAACTTCATGTTCAGTACTTCACAAAATTCACATCGTTCTCACTTTAACTGCTAAAAATAGCTGAAGAGATACTTCCTAATAATTCCTATCAGCATCTCCTTTTCCTTTACCACATTGAATTTTCAAGCTCATACATCCAGTTTAACAATGTACTCCCAACCACAAGAGCACCTAACTGTGTGAGAAATTTCCTGAAAATAAAACAAATATATACAGATTAAATTGACGATACATATAAGTAACAAGAGTAAAACCACTGTCTGAAGTTAAAATGACTGATAATGGTTGGACCGAGATAGCAGTTTCTTTATTTGAGATAATAAACAGCATAAAGTGAGAAAGAATAGCCCACTTTCAGTCTCATAATCTGGTGTTGCAGAGTTTGCAGATACTCAGCTTCTCCAGCTTTGTCAGATAGTAGTGCATGAAGTTCCTCTTCCAAGCTCTTCTCACCCATACCCCTCAGTTCTGGCTGCAGTCACACATCATTATCATTCACATACCATTAATAAGATTGTGCTTCACGTCATGAAATTATGAAACAGAATTTGCGGATTTTGATGCCTTTAGGGTCTAATAAAGCACAAAAGGGAAGTGTGTACTATGTCTGAGTATTTACCTTTCACAAGATACTGAAGTAAAATGCAGCAAACACAGTAAAGCCTAGAAGATAACTAAATGACAAATAAAATAGATAAAAATGAAGAAAAATGTAAGGATCATTGTAAGTTACCTTGAATTCAGCCATTTTATTCTTCACTGCCTCGAGAGACTGCCTCAGCTGTAACACCGAAAATAGACATTGAAAAGTATCAGAAAGTATCATCTAGTTATTACACCAATCAACAAGCTGTAGCAACTTCCAGTTGCATCATTTCAACCAAAAAATTAAGAATTCATTTTTCTCTACAAATCTTAGCCAAGAATAAGGGGTTTAGTTTTATCAATCAGAGTCACCCTTCAGAAAGCGAAAGGAGTTCCATGGGGAGAAAATCTAGATGGCATATCTAGTCTGTAATGACATATCTAAGACCATTAAGCTAACATTACTACGCATTCTAACAATATAATGTAGACTTTTTTTCTACTGTATCATTTTCGAGATGGAAGGGTAATATGAGTGTCTAAGGTGCATAAACAAACCTTGTCATTCTCCGAAACAAGATTTGATCTCAGTTGTTCTATCTTATCAAACTTCACTTGAGCAGCTTCAAAGGTCGTTATCTCACACTGGTCCACGTTATCAACGTATTCTATATAATAGCCAAAGCTTTGTTATTCTTTGTTATCCGAGATCAATGCAACTATCAAATGCAGGAAAAAGCAATGACAAAATAGGTGGTTAATAAATTTCTCCAACAGCATGAGACTATAAGTCTGTATCACAACCAATATTTTGTGTCATAGATCAAAGATATCCCGGCATTGTTCCTAATGTGGAAATTACTTAATAGTGACAACTAATAGGCATCTTGCATAGCAGTTCCCATCTTTTATAAAGATATTCTATGAGACAGATGAAAAAATAGCATGTCAAACAGGAGATTATTTCCGGTTTGTTACCTTTTTTTCCACCCGCTCTCTTGTTTACCTGCGCAGTTACTCATCAGTGATTGTCAATATATCTCTTAATGGAAACCAGACACTAAAGGAAACCAACATAGTCGGAGCTCCAATTCAATTTTTAAAATAAATCTACTCCTTCACAATATTGTCAGCTCAATAATGTAGTTAGTAATATCAAAGCCCATATTATGGGTGATATCCTTTTAGTTGAAATTGGGAGAGGATCAATGCAATAAAGACGGAACCATGATGTTATTTGGAAATTGGAAAACATTTAACCTTGTTAAATCAACACCGTATGCATCCCATGTATGAAAAGCAAAAATTAAAATACAATTACCGAGCCCTCTCTGGTTTCCAAGCCAAAATTCTGAGCGTTGACCCACTCCTGCACAGTTAAATTGTAGTGTAGTAATGGAGACAGGTACTGGGTATAGCACGCGCAAGCTGAATAACTACATTTCAAAATCTCAAACCTGTTGTTGTTTTAGTTGTTCACTGATATCCTCATTAACCTTCTTATAATGTGTCCTGTTATGGGAGTCAAATGTTCCATAAACAACATTTAATGGCTTTCTGTATATGCTGCACAAAATACCTTTGATCCACAAGTTTTCCTGAAAGGCTCAACACTTCTTGTCTCATAAGCTCCATTGTCTGCATGCAAGAGGAAAAATAGATGATTTTCAGCATAGAATGATAACGGGGAATTAATACTCAACTATCATCTGTAGAAACAGAGAAGAACAGGTGATCCACTCTGCAAATACTAAATATCGATGCTAGCTTTAGTGTATCCTAATCATTCAAATTGATATGTGCTATATAATGCTACTATGATATATGAAGTGTAATAAGATATTGTAGAAATATTAACTTCTTAAAGCAATATGTATATTTCCAGATAACCATCAATTCTTTGAAGATGTCTACATGCTGGTATAAACCTATATACAGCAAGTGTAGAGAAATAAAACAAAATGGCCTTACCTGACTGAGGGTGGAAGAATCAGATTCCAACGAAACAGTTTTCTTCTGTTTGTCCAAAATCTGCAAACAAATCTGTGCTTTTGCTTTGTTTATCTGATCATTTTCCTCCATAACTTTCTTAGTTTCATTCTTCACTGCATTTTATTTGCTAAGCATTAATAAAACAGATACGCCTTTTATGAATTTCAAAGTTCTTTTTAAGATGTTGTTAAGAAGAACTCCAATTGTAGAACATCAATAAAATGTGCAGATTCAATGAAAATGTACAATGTCGAAAACAGATAGAAACTCTAATATCAATCTGTCACCTTAAGCATAAGAAAAGTAAATTTGACAAATTAACCCTATATTCAGTAGATAAGGGATAACCTGAATCGAGATCCTTTTGGAGAGTCTGAATAGTGGTGCATTGCATATGTTCTTCAACTGATATCTTGGCTGCTTGATCCGCCACATCTGCAATATAGAGACGCATGGAAAAGACTTAATCTCAGCGCATCCTATAGACATTTGAATCATCTTATCTTCAACAAACTCCTTTCCCAACGAATCAAAAGGTCGAATCGACATTTTACATATTAAATTATCAAATAAGCTTTTTACACAAGAAATCTATATACTGAGAGCGAGAGAGAGAGAGAGAGAGAGAGAGAGAGAGAGAGAGAGAACCATTGATCTGAGAGCGAAAAGTCTTCATGTACTGAAATAGCTCCTCCATTGGCACTGTTACCTATACGTCAGGACTCAGGTTGATGCAAGCGTGCTCAGAACTAACAGCATCCGGAAGGCAAAATGAAGATCAATGCTATAGCTCGGAATGAGTGTTTTACCTTCCGCGATGAGTGCGTGTTTGTGTGTGTGTGTGTGTGCGTGAGCGAGAGAGAGAGAGAGAGAGAGTAAGTTCACAGAGATCGTTTATATAGATGATGATGATGATGTTTCAGGGGAGCTACTTTTTGGAGGGAAAAGTGGATTCTGAGCAAGTGAGGTGCACGAGCTTGGGTGACGTGGCACGATGTCCAGGGGCAATATCGGAACTTGAAAAGACCAGCATCCACTAGCGGCCTAGCCTACTTACTAGTCTATTGGACCAAGCGGACCAAGGACTGATTCAGTTCGTGATCTCTCGAACAAGAAGAGTAGAAAATGGCTACGGTGATCTCACGATGGGATCGGCAACGGCGACAGATCCGCCTTCATCCGCGCGGCAGTTTATTCCCGAGGAAAAAGCTATTGAGATATATTCTCTTCACACTCGCGGTTATTGCAATCCTTCCCCCTCTCTACTTCCATTTCAGTCTCCGCCGATTTAACCAGGTTTTTATCTTCGTGGACCCTTCCTGTGCATTTCAGTGCCTTTCTTTATCATCCAATTTGTGGTGTTGTGATTGTGTACGCGCAGTTTGCCAGACCTTGCTTGATTTTAGTTAATATGTGAAAGGTTATATGCTCTAGTCGCACTTGCTTTAATATGGACTAGCAGTTTTCTGGAGAAAATGGCGTTTCCAGAGGGTAGCATGTTTTCAGCTACCCTTTGATGGCGCATCATTTATGTCATGTTTTGCTGGAAATGGTGACAAATTCAGCTTTTCATTGAGACGCCTTTGTTGAATCATCCAATTTGCTGGATTACATTATTGTCTTGTGTTTTTGCCATCTATATGCAGCTACAATTGCGAAAATGCAGCTGGATGCGAAGTCCTCCTTTAGTGTGTGCTCATGGGGGTGACTCTACCAAGGCTTTCCCCAACACTGTAGGCAATCTTCATTTCACTTAATCGTGTTTTGAATATTCCCACTCTGGGTTGGCCGTCTATCTCATCTTGCAGGGCATGTTCTGTTTAAGAAGCTAAAATGCTGTATTTAGTTTCTGAAAATTTTGCATTTAAAGGTTGGTAGGTTAATCTTGTAGTTCACTAAAGATTACCAGGTGAGAATTGGAGCATAATACAAGTGGAGTTGCTCTTTTCTTGGTTGGGTGTGAGGGGGATTGATTAGCTGTGTTTAGCATTTACAACTTTAAAGAAAAAATTACAATGAAGACATAAATGTAACTTAATTTTGGTTGATAATTTGCAGAATATCATTGTGCATGCCTCTAATTTGTTCATATGTCCCTAGGCAACTCTTATGATGATAAAAGAAAGTGATGAAAAAAATGTCAGAGTTGCATATAAATATCTTTTTTGCTTGTGACAGATGGATGCATATAATATTGCTTTAAGTTCTCAAGTTGATTGCATAGAGATTGATGTTTCTCGTTCATCAGACGGAGTATTGTTTGCTCTACATGACAGGTATTACAGATTTGTAGAACAATTCTCATTTGGATGATAACTGGTTTTTCTCTTTTGGCCTTTTTTTATTTTTTCTTTTTCTTGTTTATCATATTTTTATTTTTTATAATATTTCATAAAGAAATTTTTACAATGTGCTTCTGACAAGCAGAGTGGTTATGTTTCGAACTTGCTTCATTATCTGTTTTATTAAGTATAATGCTTGCAAGACCACAATCTGAATATTATATGATTATATTCTCTGCAGTATGATCATTTAGGGGCTCATATCCAGTTAGTAAGGCGGCAGTAGAATATAATATTTGAGTAAGGCTAAAAAGATGGACCAATATGCCTAGAAATAACACGTCTTCAAATCAAGAATAGCTTTTCACTAATATCTCCTCCTTCCATTTAGCTTATGATGAACTAACTAATGCACTGAGTTACAACTGAAATTCATGACAATCTAAAGATGGAAGATCTTTTCACACTGATTCTGTGTTCAAGTTCTGAATTGTTCTGAAGTTGTCTGGAGTGTTGATTCTCACTTGTTACAGGCAGGGATCTGCAGCGAATATCTGGGAACGGTACTTCTAAAGTTGGTCATTTAAGTATGAAAGAGGTGGGTTGCAAATTTTTCGCAACCAATGGTATAATTGGATTTTGATGAAACTTTGATGTGTTACATTTTGGCTGTAGATTGTAGATCTCGGTTCTAGTCATCATCATTTACTGGAGCATGGTGTGAATGTTCCAACCATCGAAGATGCATTAGAGGTATGCTGTAGTATTGTCTTCTTTTCTCTCCGAGTTCAAGGAAAGTTGTGACAAGGGGTGGTGTTCTGACTAATATCTTACAACTAGGACAGGACTAGCCTATAGACTGAATTTGAAAATATTTTGTCATGCTATTTCCGTATTCCGGCGTATCAATTACAACTCTTTCTTGCGAAATTCTATTTGACCATATTCTCATACTTGTATTATTGTATATCAGTTGGTATCAGGTTCTGTACGGCAGGTTATTCTTGATGCTAAAGTTGGGCCACCGCTGTATGAGAAAGGACTTGCTAAGGATATTCTTTCTATCGTGAGTTTTCGTAGTTGTTGATTGTTTGTTATTTCCAGAGTCACTAAAAATAGTGTGGGATAGCTTGGCTTTGCTCTTTCCGAGCTTTGTAATTGGGATCATGTCTACTTGAGTTGAAATGGCTTAATAATTAAATACCTGTGTAAGCCTCCTTTTTGCAGGTATTTTTGGAGGCAAAGATCTTGACATAACAGCAGATGTTTACGTTCATTATTTTAGTGACTACTTGTGGGATTATTTATCAATGTCATACAAATTTTAAAGTTATAATCAACTCATGAATGTTGTAATGGATGAGGATGTAAATGTTATCCGATTAAGATGTTTGTGCATGGTAATAATGAAATTTCAGCAAATCATCTAAGAGATGTGGAGAAAATGTTGAAGTGGTGATAATACATGCTTATTGCCCCACTTTATTTTAAAAACTAACTCAAGGATTCTTTTATTTATTTATTTATTTATTTATTTATTTATTTATTTCTTTCTTTATTTATTTATTATGTTCACAGTTATATAACGGAGGTTTATGTTTCTGGGATCATTTTCACTTTACTACTTTTCCAAAAGGGCTAATCCATTTTAAGATTCTTTTTATATTGGAGAAAAGATGTCTAAATGCAACAGTTTATCTAATGCGTCCGATGCTATTGACTGTCACCATACAAATAAATCTATCCTGCTGATTTTTCTTCTTTGCCTTCTCTATTGAATATGTGGATCTCTATGACCTAGACTAATCGCCTCACTATCATAATTGTGCAGGTTGAAAAAACCAAGTGTAAAAATTGCCTTGTATGGGCAAAAAGTGACAGCCTAGCGAGGGATTTGATCAAATTATCCATAGATACAATGGTAATACTTGTTAACTATTGCTCAAGTCACAATTGATATCATCTCGAGTATGAACTTCTATGGCCATTCGTTGGTGTCCTCAACATGGCAGTAGTACAGTAAAGAATATATAAGAAAATGAAGAAAAAAAGCTTTAGGTGGGTTTAAGGCAGGAAGTTTATCCTTCTCACTCTTTGTCATTTAGAATAGATTGAAATTGGGATAAACACTAGTAAATGTATTATTTGCCTTCGTGTCTCCTATTGGGCATTGGCAGGGGTAGGGGTGAGTGATGTGGAGTGCATCTGCTTTTCCTCTTGGGCGTGTGCCATGCTGGTTTCTCTTAGGATTTTGGCAGTTTCTTATTTGTAGCATGATTGTATCTTGGCCGATTTATCTTAATACCCGAGCTAGGAATTTATACCAATTAGGCCAACTGTGAAACAAATGAAAACTTCACCAGACATAATGTTACTTTGGACTTTGGTTAAAACTACAAGCAAAAACTAGCTAATTTTGTTTTCGGTTCATTAGTGTGCTATTGGACTAGTTTGTTTACTTATGTGTTTGTTATGAAAGGTGGGCTATATCGTAATGATAGATGGTACGACTGGAAGTAGGATGAAATTGCTGAGGATGAGAGGAGCGGGTGTGGTTGGCGTCTATCACCCTTTGATTGACGAACAACTTGTGAAAGTCCTCCATAGGTAGAGTTCAGTTGGAATGTTAAACAATTGCATTAGTTAGCAAAAATATATATGGATATTATTTTGAGTCTGGGCTTGGATACAATGAACAGGAGGAAAAAGAAGGTGTACGCGTGGACTGTTGATGAAGATGAGGCGATGCAGAAGATGTTGTTGGAAGGTGTGGATGCAGTGGTCACGAGTAATCCTTCACGGCTGCAGCGTGTTATGCAAGATGTTCGGACCGAATGCTTTCGAGAAGGGTTTTCATTGAATTCTTAAACTAATAACTACAACAATATGGCCTGTGCTGCGTCAAGCTAAATGCAAGCAGAGAAAATTGTGCAGATTGATTTGTAGCTACTTCAAAATCTATTATTTGCACAAGCAGTGCGGATTGATTTGTGGCTATACTCCATATCTATTGTTGAATACGACAAATGAGAAACTAACCAAAGTTCCATACTCATACAGTCATACTGACTTAGCTAGAGTCTTTCTTCTTCTTCTTCTTCTTTAAATAAAGTTATAAATATTAAATCTTTATGTGGTTCATTTTATATAATCAATATATACTTTCCAATATGTGTGTATATCAACATTCAAAACAAGAAAAAGTTCCCTATAATCCAAACAAAACAAATGTTTTTCTTTGTTAAATTACATTTCACACAATTTTGTTACAAAATGAATTCATGAACTCATTAAAGGGTAAAGCAACAAAATTCAACTTCAAATAAAAATAAAGATGAGATGGCACTTTACCATAAAATTTTATTTTTGCATTTTGAAAATTAATACTCTATGTATTATATTTAATATAAATAGATTTCATAAATAATACGTACGAAGAGTAATATTTTATATTAATGTTTTTTTTTATTATTATTTCTATAATATCAAATTAATGGCCCAAAAATTTACCGACCGACCATCTGAACAGACGCGCAGAGCTGCTTAACTGAACAGTGTTGTATAGAAAAAATAAAAATAATAACTGTTGAAAAATGAAAAGTTAAAACCCCACTAGAAAAATAAAAGGAGCAGTAAATTTCTGATTACATTCATTCATCCATGAAACCAACCTGCCAATTTATGGTAACCTTCTCTCCTCTCCTCTCCTCCCAGACACAAAATAATAATCCATTATTGTCTTCGAGTTTCTAAAAGGACGGACGGAATCAAAGGATTTAAGCTTTTTTGGCTGGGGAACAATGATGGTGAAACGCTTCGGATACGCCATCGCCTCGTGGTCCCGCAGAAATGTTGTCGATCCACTTCTCCATATTCTCCGCCGGTTAATATTATACTACTTCATCGATTAATTCCCCAATTTCAGCCATTTCTTATTTATTTTTTTTTCTACTCTTTTGTATTATATTATAAGTAATACCTTGGATCGTTGTTCTGCTTTGATGCCTGATATTTGTGCAAAATTAATAGGGGAGCTGAGCCGAATCAGCTAGCTTTCTCATTTTCACTCGGCATCACCTTAGGGCTGTTCCCAATTTGTGGTAATTTTCTGTTTTGAGCTAAAAAAAAAAAATATATCAGTCAATTGTGTAGTAGTTTATTTATTTTGGTAATTTGCAGTCAGTTCCCCCATTTTCATTCTCTCCTATCTGTACTATAACTTTTCTCAATCTTTTGCTCATGTTCTGTTCACTAATGATATCATTATTCAAATATGTTAGTCTAGTATCATAATCTTCAAATTCTGATATCTAGCCCTACTACAATTGATAGTTAAAATTTGATACACCTTCCTTCAATACAGTTTCTGTTCTACAGCAACAACTCAAAAGCTGGTTCATTTATTTCTAAATCTCAAACATAACATACAGTTAGTTTGTTGTTGTCCTTGGGAAATCATTTCTATATTTCTGTGACTGATGTTTTAACATGCTCTATCTGGGTTAAAAAAAAGGCTGTAAAATGTTACACTACATATGTTATATTTTTGTAAAGGATTCGAATGACCTGTAGCATCTTACACTCGATGTTTATCATCTTTGATAGGAGTTACTGTGTTTCTTTGCGGTATAGCTATTGCGTTACTTGGGTCTCTTTCTCATGCTCCGACAGTGATGCTGGCCAACTTCATTGCCACTCCTATTGAATTGAGGTAATCCTTATCCTATCTCAGAAATTATTTTATTTGTCCACTCTTTATATAATTGAAGAATCTCAAATCCTCATATCCTCATATTTTTCTTTTCCTTAACTACTAGTCTGATGATTCCGTTTCTACGGTTTGGGGAATTCGTTACTGGAGGGCCTCATTTCCCTTTAACTTCTGATGCTTTGAAGAAGGTCTTGACTGGACAAGCTTCAAAGGAAGTCTTGCAAAGCATTCTCCATGCGGTATGTGCTGAATTTGATAACTTGGTCAATATCCAGTGTGAGCTAGTTTTTGTTCAAGTAAGTTGTGAGTTTCCATATTGTAATATTTCTGGAGAACACCGTGGTTGTTTGAAATCACATTACACGTCTTTAACTGTTTCTTGAGTCAATGGGGAATATTGAATGATTAAAACTTGGTAGTTGTGTGGTGAGTGCTTTATCCTATGCAACTGTTTTTTTGGTTTTTTTTTTTTCTTTGCAATTGATCAGTTCTGTTGATATACATATGCAGTTGTTAGGCTGGCTTGTTGCTGCACCATTCATATTGGGAGGACTCTATTTATTGTCTTTTCCATGTTTCAAGATCTTGGTTAAAAAATTCAGTCCTGTCCCGGCAAGCCCCAAAAAGAATCTCAATTCTATTTCAAGCCCAAGAAAGTCACCCAATTCCCCTTCTGAAGTCAGGCTAAAAGTGAGGGACGTATAATTAAGTAATTAACCCTGTCATGAGCAATTTTAGTATTTGCGATGAAGAGGGTTAGCCCCTGAAATCATCTCCTTATTCCCCACACTTATGTAAATAAATCCTCTCAGAGGGTGCCATGAAATTCATTGTTTGTAAATGTGTAACCAACCGTAATAGTTGTTGTATTCTGACGTGGTGTACTGCCTAAACATTATTGGGGAAGTGACATTTCTTGAAGTTTACAGTGATAGTTTACCAGTCTCAATATCCTCTTACTGCACTGCTTTTTTTTTTTTTTTTTTTTTTATTATTTGTGTTGCAAATTGGTTTGGAGAAGATCAATGCTGCCTGCCTTTATCGACATTATGGTTTGTTTGTGCCTTTCTGAGTTTTATGAAATATTTTGGAGGTTGTATTGGAGGATTTTGAGGTAATTGGATTTCAGAAGGGATTGGTAAATTTGATACTAGCTGTGCGGGTAATGTGGTGTCCCGGTGAAGTTGATACATGAAGTTTATCACTGCGGGTAAGTAAGATGATTGAATGAATGGATTTACTACAATGATGACATCAAATTGAGCTCACTGTTACAAACTTAAGATGATCGATTTGATGACATCAAATTGAACTCACTATTACAAACTTAAGATGATCGATTGGATTGACTGCAGTGATGACATTAAAAAGATTGACAAAAATACTTGAATCATGTGATGGCGCATGCCAATTTGGCAACTAATAACAAACTTCATCTTGTATTTATTTATTTATATTTTAATGTATTGTCGTTCAAATCAATTTTCTGATCGGCATTTCCAATTTATTCTTATTCTTTATTTATTTTTTCTTATTCTTATTCTTATTTTATTTTATTGTGAAGTGAACGTTTTTTTTTTTGGAGACTTCTTTAAAAATCCCCAAGTCCCTTTTCAAATTCATGTTCAGTCCTTCCCCCTTATTTGTTTCCTTTTAACTACCTACCCCCTTAATTAAGTTCCACTTAAATCCCTCCCATTAAAATAAATCACAAAGAAATTGAAATGTGGCATCATCCCACTATCTACTAATTTTGACACATTATTTTATTATTTTTATTTACCTA